CTCTCTCTTGTCTTTCTGGCAAGTGCATGTACCCTATGGCAAAAAATCTTAGGGGGAAAAAAAAAAGTAGAGATCTTCTAGGGCTCATATGGTGACTGAATTAGTAGTATGTACAAGGTGCTTAGAACAATCCATGACTTATATTTAAAAAGCTATGTACGGAGCCAGCAGGTCGCATGGTGGTTAAGGCACTGGACTCCCACCTGGCTGACTGTGGTTTGAGTCCCAGACCTGGCAGCTTGCTTTCTTACTTTCCCTCTGTCTCTCTGTTTGTCTCTGGTGAGCATACATGCCCTATAGCAAATTAAAAAATAATAACAACAATAAATAAAATTAAATAATTTTTTTTAAAAAGTTATGTATAAGTTTGTTAAAGAAGGGGACCAGATGTTGGTGTAATGTCTATATCACCATTACATGGACTCCCATGTAGTCGACCACAGTTCGAGTCCTGGACCCGGTAGCTTAAACTCATGCTGGGCACATGTGCTTGCATGCCCAAGATCCCAAGAGAAGAAGGGATTACGGTGTGGCCATCCCCTCTGGGGGGTGTTTTCTCACTTTCTGTCTCTGTCTTTCTTTTTCTGGTGAGCGCATGTACCCTATAACAAAAACCTCTCCAAAAAAAAAAGTTCATTGAAGTACATTTTAATGTTCTTACTGATAATGTATGCATAGTAAAAGCAATTAATACCAATAGGACAAAATGCAGAACAAAAATTGTGTTCTTAAAGAAACATTTTTTAGATTGTTAAGATGTGGTCAATTAAAAGATAAATTTCTGACCTACCATATAACTGTCACATAAGCAAGCATTGTGAAAAGAACACAATCTTATCCTGGAACACCACCTTAATAGCTCATTCCTAGAAGGGCTGTAAGTTAATATTAGGCCAGTGGGAAAGGCATGACATATCTTTGAATGTTTTCCATGCAAAAATGGGTCATGACTTTCCCCACGACCTGCTATTTGGTGCTTAAGGACCGCAGCCCCTTCCCCTGCTTCACACCCCAGGGACAGCTTTGCTGTGCTTCTCTGGAGTTCAAACCTTCTGTTGGCCTCAGACACAAAGGCATCTGTCTGCTGTCCCCCCAAAATGTCAGAGAGTTAAAAACTGTTTTTGACTGACATGCTTATCACAGTTACCTACATGACAAAATGAAACAAGAAAGCAGTATCCCTCTCTCTTTTTTTTTTTTAAAGGAGTCTTTGCCTTAAGACATGTGTTCACAGGAGAGAGAAAGACAGATGGTGAGAGGGAATGTGAGAAATCGCTCCCCACAATGACTGTGGCCACACCACAATCCCTCCTCATGCACACAGCGTGACTTTCAAGTCACCAGGTCCGGGACTCAAACCGCAATTGGCCATGTGGAAGTCCAGTGACATAACCACCATGCCATCTGCTGGTCCCAGTATCCCTTTCTTGAACACCAGTGTGTTGGGCAACTCTGGGGTTCTCAGCATTCAGCACACCGCAGAAACTCAGGGAGTTTCAATCTAATAAAAAGTAATTAAGGTATGCTAGGTCTCCCCAGGAGCAAATTATCAACAGGTACTTTCATTTAGTATGCTCTAAATTTTTTGATCAATAAAAAATTTGCACCACATAATATACATAATTTATAACCTACTACTGTCAAACTAGATATTAAATAATAACAAGGCTTAATTCCTTTTTAATTGTTTTTTAGATAATGAATAAATGTCAGTGGAGGTTCTAGTAGCTTCTTGCATACTCCACAGGCTCTTCCTGCACACCCGATCCCGGAGGGTCCTGATCTAGGAGACCACTCTAAAGTGATGGCTGGTCACCAAATCAAGGACAGGAACAGAGAGCGGCAGCACCGCTGAGCAGTCAGGACGCTCCGCAAGTGACTGGAACCCGTCCTCCATGTCATCCCAGCCTGCCCCTGCCCTAGCAGCTCCTCGGCACATTTCCAGGAAGTGAGCAGCACAAACCTTCAAAGTCACTGTTTGACGAGTGAACCAGGAGCAGAGCTAGGTATAGCCAACCTGAAGGTGCAATTCAAGAAGCAATGGTCTGAAAAAGAAGAAAAGTTGGAGACCTACGCCTCCTGATTTCACAGTTATATATAAAGCTGTAGCAATCAGAGTAGCGTAGTCCTGGGTAGTCGGAAAAGTCGTGATGCATTTTTCTATTAGTTTGTTGGGAAAGTCGTGACACATGTTTGCACTTTCCCGACGACACAACAGTAGCATACAGGCAGACATTCAGAACAGAGGAACAGAACAGAGAGCACAGAAATCAATCCTCACGTATACGATCCAAAGATTTTTGACCAGGATGCCAACACTATTCAATGGGGTAATAGTCTTATATACAAAATTTAACTCAAAATGCACCAAAGACTTGGGAACCAGCAGTTAGCGTAATGGCTATGTCGCTGGACTCCCACGTAGTCGACCGCAGTTCGTGTCCCGGACCCGGTGGCTTAAAACTCACGCCGGGCACGTGTGCGTGCGTGCCCAAGATCCCGAGAGGAGAAGGGAGGAGAAGGGATTGTGGCGTGACCATCCCCTCTGGGGGGGTGATTTCTCGCTTTCTGTCTCTATGTCTCTCTCTGTTTGTCTGGTGAGCACACGCGCCCTATAGTGAAAAAAACCTCTCCAAAAAAAAAAAAAAAATGCACCAAAGACTCAAAAGTGAGGCCAAAACTATAAAACTCAGAAAAAAAAATTGGGTAAAAACTAGGTATGACAGTTTTTATGCCACTTGGTTATAACCTCAAAGGCACAAGCAAAAAAGGGAAAAATCAACATTGGAGTACATGAAAATAAAAAACTCATACATCAAAAGATACAACCAACAAACTTAAATGGAAACTCACAGAATAGGAAAATATATTTATAAATCATATATCTGATAAGGAATTACTATGTAGAATATATCAAGAACTCCTAAAATTCAACAATAAAGCCAACACCTGATTCAAAAATGGGCAAAGGACTTAAATTATAAGAAGACAAACAAATGGCCAAGAAATTCATGAAAAGGTGCTCAACATCACTAGACATCTGGGAAACGCAAATCTAAATTACAATGAAATATCACCTCATACTCGTTAGGATGGTTAATATAATATAGAGAGAAGTTGTGGTAAGGGTATGGAGAAACTGGAGCCCTTGTGTATTGTAGAGAAAAGTGAGAAAGTAACAAGTGGCACAGCTGCTGTAAAAGCAGTGTGGCAGTCCTCCAAAAGAGCTAAAAATAAAATTATAGTATTATCCAGTAATTCCACTTCCGGTTTTGTATTAAAAAAAAAAAAAATCAAAGACAGGGTCTCCAAGATTTATTGTACAGAACCACGTCGTGGCAGCTGCCTTATCCATGACAGCTAAAAGGTGAAAATGACTCAAGTATCTCCCAACAGATCCGGATGGAAAATGTGGTATGCCCAAAGAATATAGTATTCTCTGACCTTAACAGGGAAGGAAATTCTGCAATATGTTACAAAATAAGAAACCTTAAGGATATTATGCTAAATGAAATAAGCTAGTCACACACACACAAAAATACTATATGAGTGAGTTCGGATTTTTAAAATTCATAGAGACAGAAAGTAGAATGACGGTTGCCAGGGGCTGTGGAGGAGGGGAGAGGACACTAGTGCAGAATGGGTACAGGGCTTCAGTTGTCCCAGATGAAAAGTCCAGGAGAGTGTTTTGCATGACAGCGTGAACACACTCGACACTGCTGAGTTGGGCTGATACACTGTATTATTTGTGCTTTACCCAGTATTTGTTAAAAGGCTATTATTGTCAAAGTCCACCCAAATGTGATATAAAGGTGGATACAGAGCGATCAACAGAGAGAATGAACTACAAGACAATGAGATGTATAATTGATGCGGCTTACTGACCAGTATAAATTGGGAAGTTGAGAAGGAGTGAAGGGTAGCTTTGAGGTTTTCCAACTCAGTAGATGCTATTACATTAATCAGTCTAGCCAATGGGGTAAGAAAATTCACTTATTCACTCATCTTTACCTAAAAACACTTTTTTTTTTTTTTTTTTTTTGAGTTTCTTCTATGTGGCAAACCCTGTTTGGAAATGCAAATACCAGAAAATAAAAGCAATCAGATCAAATCCTACAGTTTGAGTCCTGGACCGGCAACTTGAAACTCACACTAGGCACATGTGCGTCCGCGCATGCATGCGTGCCAGCCTAAAATACTGAGAGAATGGTGGAGAAGGGACTGTGGCACGGCCATCCCCCTTGGGGGTGATTTCTTGCTTTCTGTGAGAGCGAGCATATGCGCCCTATAGCAAAAATCTAACCAAATAAAAACACTACAAAAGAGTGAATAAAACGTCACTATTGGAACCTAAATGCAGTCATGCATCACTTAACTGTGAGAGCATGTTCTGAGAAATGCACTGTCAGGAGCTTTCATCCTTGTGCGAACATCACAGAGCAGACTCACACAATCTGAGATGGTGCAGCCCACGACACAACCAGGCTCTGTGGCCTAAGCTACTGCTCCCCCAGGACTGCCACTGTCTATGTGTCTGCCACTGACTCAAACACTGTTATGTAGCTCTACATAACAACTCCAACCCCAATTTTATACACTGTGACATAATTTTTAAAAATCATACTTTTAAAGTTTTTGGTATTTAGATCTGTGATTCCTAAATAAATTTTGTTATTTTCCTAAGGCCACATTTCTAATAAAGTTAAGAAACATACATGCTACTGGAATGGAAAATGTGCTGCAAGTTATTTTACTCAATCCCCTTATTTCGCAAGATAAGAAACTGAACCTGAACAAGATGAAAAACCTGACTACATTATGCCATGAGTTACCATCACAGTAGGGCACACTGCCAAGGCCTCGGCACTCCTGGGTCACTGTTCTTCCGACTCCACCAGGTGTGAGATCTTACACAGCTATCAACTTCGTCTAGTCTAATTCTCTTAGAAAACTACAACCTAGCAGCGTGCACCTCAAACCATCAGGGCGATATGAACAAATGAGCACATCTCAAACACACAACTACAATATGAAGTTGTATAAATTACTATTATAAAATCAAAGTACAAGCTTAACATTTGGTTCTTGACGTTTTCTGAAAAACGCCTTTCCTGAATCATGGCGCCATCACGGACCCTGCCGCCCTGTGTAGATGGCCGCTTGCGGTTGGCTAGGCTGTAATCTTGGCCAGCCAATCGAAAACCATCACTGACGCAGAGACCTGTATTTAGAGTTTCTGTGCCAACTGAGAAGCCACACAGCTTTCCAGCCGTGTGTGCAGGGTACTCTATGTCAAATGCTAAGTACTCAAAACCACACTGGGCTTTGGGCTTACCTTTCTTGATTGCTCAGTTTGGCATACATGGCTTCTATCAATTCTGGGCTTTTCAGAAAGTGGTCTGTAATAATCAAGAACCTAAGGAAAAAAAGGGGAAGGAGAAAAGTTTGGTTACTAGAAACAGTGAAACACACATGGCCTTTTCTACTTTATAGATATATCCTACACCTAAATGTACTTACGTTTTTATAAATTTCTCATTTGCTATAATAGTAAATGTTTTTAAAAGTCCACATACTATTTTTTCTATTCATACTAAGAGAACATTTCAAATTATTTTTCTCCAATTTTACTTTTGAAAAAAATAGTGAAATATTTCAAACTGCTTGAGAAAAGAAAATTCTTTACTACAGTTTATCAGAAAATGAAATTTAGCTACAATTTCACATATAAACAGAAGACATACTAAGCTGTTTTAGTCAGAAGCTTAGTGCTGTAATTAAACATCCAAATGGACATGTCACACTTCCATTTAAACACATGCCAACAACAGCGATGGAGCCTGACTTGATGATCCACTCCCTAAGAGTTCTCAAGTTACCAAGAAAACATCCTCACTGTCAAGCAATGCACTCATCTGAATTTAGAGATCAACTTATGGAAACCCTGAGGCAAAGATTATAGGCATATTTCTTCAAAGTACCACTGTGACATCTAAAAAGATTGAATAGTATTATTAATTAATTCTGAATCACATTTACCAGAGGGCATCTGAGGGGGAAAGATTTAAGAACTAAAGAATACAGCGTTTATAACCAATGCTCGGTAACAAGAGTAGACTATAACATACATGTATATACACACACACAGACACACACACACAGACACGGTTCATTTAACCACTTGCTACCAAATCAAATAGTCTGTCTCTTAGTATGAACGTCAAATGAAGCATATTCTACCAGAACACATTGTCGCTTCAAATAAAACCAAAAACCAAAATCTAAATATGTATTTATTTCTTCTACCTTTAACATAGCTGATCAACACTTTGATATAAAATAATCATTAATATTTTAAAATTTCTAACAACAGTCTTATCAACCTAGGTAGGTCATCAAACTCTAACAATAGAAATGCTTGCATTTGAAGTGGAGTACACAAACAAAACTGGGAGCTAAGGGCTTGTTCATAACTCTGAACTTGGAACTCCAAACATTCCCCCTAACAGCATTCATTCGAAACCACAATATTACAAGTACTGCGCTAGGGGCTAGGTCACAGGCCATCAGCAAGCCGTATGTGGGCCGGTGATTACAGAAGAACGTGTGAAGTGCGACATACAGACACACACCGTGGATTACAGAAACAACCAAGTGTCCCCGCAGTGGGCGGGGAGAGGGGATGATGAACGGAGCACAAGAAGAGAGATCAAAGAGCTTAGAGGAGATGCTCTGCGAGTCTATAAGAAAAGGGGTGGAGAAAGCAGAGAATTAGACGGGACAAAAAAAGGACTTAGAAAAAAACAGCACAGAGGAGAGGAGAGCAGTGTGTTAAGGATACTACAAGCGATAAAACACTAGTGGGACTTCAAGGAGGGCTCCGGACCACAAACGAATGTCCCCAAGCCAGGACTGCGGCTGGCAAGTAGCCCTCAGCTGTCAAGTCCTCGGCTGTCTCAAGTGAAGGGACAGCCGTCACAATCAAGGTTTGAGTTGGCCGAAGACTGATGTGACTGGTAGCCATACCTCCTTTCATGATACTGGAATTAATGCTCTTTCTTTCTTTGTTCTTGATCAATTTTGTTTATATTTTGAAAGAACCAACTCTGGCCTCTGTTCATTTTCCCCGTGATTCTTCTGCCTCCTACCTCATCGATCCCTGCATCGTCTTTCAGTACTTTCCGTGCAGTCAGGACCTGCTGTGCTCTGTTTTGTCCGCCATAAACTGGAACCTCACCGCCACTGACTTCAGACCTCTCTCCCCTGCTAAGTAAGCATTCAAAGCCATAAACTCTCCTCCAAGTGCTGCTTTCACTTTATCTTGCAAATCTCGCTATGTTATACTTTAGCTCAAAATATTTCCTAATTTGTCTTATGATTTCTTTGATAAATCAATTATTCAGATGTGTTAATTTGTAAAAGTTTAGAATTCTCTTAGATATCTGTTACAGCTTTCTAATTTAAGCTCATTATGGTAGAACATACTCTATATGATTTCTTTTTTTAAAAATTATTTTATTTAACTTTATTTTTTCATTCATTTATTTATTTCAATTTGACCAGAGAGGGATAGAGTGAGAGAGAGAGAGAGAAAGCTGACAGGTCCAGGACTTGAACTGCAGTCAGCCATGTGGGAGTCCAGCACCCTTAACCACTAAGCCACCTGCTGGCCCCAAAACATACTCTATATGATTTCAATCTCTTACAGATTAACTGAGATTTCTTGCAGCCTTCCTACCTGGGTGGACATGGCACCTGCTAGAGGCAGGGAAAAAAGAAGATATGAGGTCTGGAAGGGCTGAGGGCATGGTCTCTAAGCATCACTCACATGAAAGTGGCTTCCTGCCACTGTACGACCAAGATCATCTACATCTGCACTGACACCCACGGGCCCTATCCAAGGCTGCAAAGCAGCTGCTAAAACCTCCAATGGCCCAGTCGCAGTGGCAAAGTGGATGCACAACACTCCACAGTGCTGGAAACCATACGCAAGGCTGCAGATCAGGTCCTGAGATGATCCGTACACGCCAGGCATACACATGCTCCCAATCCTGCTGGCTGGAGGGATCGGGCAGGGGAGATCATGGTGCAAGACTCTGGTAAGGGGGCTTCTCTCATCTGTGCACAGGAAATAAACCAAGAAACAAACATATCTCCAGGTCCAGCCTGGTGGTACAGTCAGTAACTAGCTGAACTGCAGTGCTAGAGGCCATGTGGCCAACCACGGGTCTGGGTCCTCAGGTGAGCTGGGAACCACACATTCAAGGGCATGCACGTGCCTAGGATCCTGAAGAGCTGGAAGACTGGGGGCAGGGGGTCACAGAGTGATGAGACCCTGTAGAGGGTGCTTTGCATGCTGTCTTTCACACATGAATACAGTCTGTATCAGAGATAAGAAAAGATCTCCACTTGCCACTTCTACTTCAGGGCATCGTGGAATGACAACTGGCCTTCCCATCTAGAACTGGACAAACATACAAACAATAGTTTCCAGACAATGGGTCACAGTCCAAGTTAGGTTGCAGGAATAAAAGGCACTATAGGAAAGGTCTTCTTAAGTAAACAGAAAATTCTAATAAACGCTCAATAAATGTGACTTGATCAATATGCTTATAAAATCCATAAGAACTTAAACTGCAAAACTGAGACAATCAGTGCAAGAAGTTCTAAATGCTAGAATGTGTGCAAAGAAGTAAAAACTGAAGTGAAAAAGACTTCCACGAATGGGGCAGGGAGTATGCAGGGAACAGGGCAAGGACAAAGGGACAGGAAGAAAGGGCACAGCTGCAACAGCACTTGTCAGTAGGACCACCTGCATCATCTGAAACAGAGGAGAGGGCCCACACTGTAACCTCTACAGCAACATAAACCCCAAGTGAATCAAATGCTTAAAACACCACAAGTGAAAGCACACATATGAGCCAGCCGGTGCCGTGGTGGTGAAGGCGGTGGGGTCCCACATGGCTAACAGCACAACTCAAGTCTCAGACCTAGAGGCTTGAAAAACCCACTGTGCATGTGTAAATGTGTGCCTAAAATCCCAAAAGGAGAATGGAGGAGAAGAAAATGCAAAGTGACCATTGCCCATGGGAGGTGCTTTCTTGCTTTTTCTCTTTCTGCTTCTCCTGGGTAAGCACACATCCTCTGGTGAATTAAAATAGTAATCATAATAAAGAAATAATACAAGGGAGCAGAGGGCGTAGTGGTTAAGGTGCTGGACTCCCACATGGCCAATCATAGTTCTAGTTCCAGCCTTGGAGGCTTGAAACTCACACCGTGTGTGTACACATGCCCGAATTCCCAAGAGGAAAAATGGAGGAGAAGGGACTGCAGAGTGGCCCTCCCCCTGCCCTGGGGAGGGGGTGATATCTAGCTTTCCGTTCCTGTCTCTCAGGTGAGCACACATACCCTATAGCAAAAATCTCTTAAAAAAGAAATAACAATACTGGAAGAAAATCTTGGTAGAGAAAAGGCCTTTATCCCTACCAAAAATCCAGAAGACAAAAAAAAAAAAAAAAAAAAAAAAATTTAATAGAAAAATTTATCGACCAAAAAATCAAAAACTGGAAGCCAGCAGGTGGCATGGCAGTTAAGATGGCTGGATCCTACATGGCCAACTGTGTGGTTTGAGTCCCGGACCCAATGGCCTGAAAAAACACTGGGCAGATGTATGTATATGCATGCCCAAAATCCCAAGAGAATGGAGAAGGGACTGTGGCATGATTATCCCCCTGGGGGGAGCGGGGATGATTTCTTGCTTTCTCTCTCTTATCTCTGTCTCTCACCAGTGAGTGCATATGCCCTACAGCAAAAACAAAAATAAATAAATAAATAAAGTACCATGAGCAAAGTCAAAAGAGAAAACACTGAGAAAAATATACTTTATTTTATACAAAGAACTAATATCTATAATCTAGAAAATACTCCTATATGTTGACAAGGAAAAGGCCAAAATGCCAACAACTAAGTGGGTAAAGAAAATGAGAATGAACATAAAAGGAAAAAAAAATTCTTCAACATGTAAGAAGACAAAGTACAAGAAAAAACCAAACGGGGACACCACCATTTTAAGCCTTAGCAGAACCGGCAAACCAAAACCTTGACAGGATCCTACTTACACTGTTGGGCAGCAACGTGGGAAAAGGGAGTACGTGTTAGTAGGTCTACGAAGGACAACTGGGAAGCGTCTGTCAGAACTGTAAAGACGCATTCCCCCGGAGCTGGTGGCTGCACTCGCACCTGCCCAAGTACAGTATGACATGCGTATGGGAAAGGCTAGCCACTGCTGCGTTTCACAGTAGTGCAATTGTAAACAACCTGGATGTCCATCAATAAGAGACTAAGTACATCTTGGCATAACCACAAATTGCTAGATTAAAAGATGAGAAAAGGCCCTGCGTCTATGTTCCAGGATCTCCTGAACACACTGGCACAAGCCTATGTGTGTCCACGACCAGGCCGGCTGAGACTGGGGGTGAGTCAAGGCCTGGGGGACCTGTCAAGGGTGCCTGCCAGCAGCCAAAACTGAGGAATTCATAGCTCACCTTTACAATGCAGGTCTCCTCTCAGAAAATGGATAATTTTTGTAACACTAGACACGACACAAATGGATCAGTCTTCGAGGTCGGCATGACTTCCAGTCCTACCTCCACTGTATGCTAGCGTACGACCTCAGTCAAGCTGCTCGCCTTACAGGAGTCTCAGGACTCAACCACACGCATGGCATACTATCATCTGCGAGATGGCAATTAAGTGAAAAGGGAGTCACATACCAAGCACCCATCACATCACGGGATGAGCGCAAGGTGGCCCTATCTTCCCTCTACTCTGTCATTCTGTACTGAACACCACCAACTCCCTCCTAACCCGCCAGTGCACATTTACTGAGCTGTCAGATTTAGATGAACTCAAAATAGAACCCTTGGATTCATCCAGGGTTATCTGAGAACATGAAAACATTGTTCACACCTACAAACAAGAGGAACATTTTTGGAAAGACATTATCCCAATAATTCAAACCAAGTAGTGCCAAAGACTTTCTCACCCACGCTTTCCTGTATCTCTAGTAAACCCACAAAAGGGCCCTCAGTTATTGAAATCTTACATATGTCCTTCTCTAGCAAAAAGAAAAGATAATAAACCCATGAATTCTAAGACGATGTAGTCTGGTGGTTTTGTCAGCTATTTTGTAATGTTGGGGAGAAGGGGGGGAAGGATGTTTTCTTCCATCTTCAGGGATAAGTTTATATTTAACAGTGAACAACAACAACTTTGTTGGAAGCCCCTGGATGTTCTGCAATCCTGCTGTTCATTTACCAAATGCGTAGTCCCTCGAACACAATCGGAAGTGCTCGGCGCTGGACTGCAGCAGGTGTCCGGAAGCCACTGTGACTTCAGTCCTTTCTGCCTATTCCAGCTAGTGGCTACTTTAACTGGAGCTGTTCTGAAGTAGATTTTGTACTTACCCCTTTAAAACCTTTTGCTCTTTATTCCATGCTGCTGAAATATAAACCTAAGCTACCTAACAAAGAAAACAGGATTCAACGACAGAAAAATCACCTCATAAGGTGACTCTAACAATTCATCTTGCTGTGCTACAGTTTTCAAAGTCACAATAATATTTTCATATTCCAACTTGTTTGTGTGCAAATGGAATTACCAGCATTCAAATTTTTACTTAAAACCTCAACAAGGGAAATGACCTCCCAGGAGTCCTTAAGCAATTAAAATTCTAACAAAATACCCACGGCCATTCTGAGTCGGGCTGCTTTTGGTGAGCTGCTATGACATCAATTGCAATGTTCAGGTTTTCTTCCAGATCTTTCATCCTTTCAGGACTCAGTGATGTGAACAAAATCATTGAAGAGTAGGCAACAATTTTTTTGTCTGAATGATTTAAGCAAGACCTAAACAAAGAAACGAGACTGTAAGCCTAATTTAGCAACACAATAAAATATGATCATCATGCATAAATATTAAACCCATTAGCAAATTCAGTTCGCACTACTGTTTTGGAGAACTTGAAGAATTATAACACTTTGAAACAAGTCCATTATTTACTGTAAAAATGGGAAATATAAAATTAGTCACAAGGAAAAGTATCCAATATTAAATCTGCAGCTGAATTAGGACTCGAATGAAAAAAAAAAAATGATTACATTTATAAAGCATTAAAATGTTCACTCTTGGTGCTGGCCCCGTAGTGCAGCACTTAAGCACTGTACAATTGGAGCCAGAGTGCAAATGGCCGACTGCTAAGGCTAGGATTTGTGTTGAAAACCATGCCAAACCTGGGTGTGCCCATGCCCCAAATCCTGATGAGATGGAAAACGAAGGAAAAATGAACTGCCTCATGACCACACCCCACTAGGGTGCTTCCTCTCTCTTATCAATGTATGTGCCCCCTGGCAATTAAAAAAAAAAGTTCATTCTTGTTAGAAAATCAACAACAACAACCAAAAAAGATACTATGCTGATTACAGACATTCCTTTAACAGTTATGAGGGACAGAACATCTAAAGGATGGAGCGCGCAGTGACAAGAAACAGAATCTGGAGTCGAGAGCCTCAGTATGACCCCTAGCTCACCCACCTGTCAGCTACCCGACATTAGGACAGTTATTAATGTATCGATTATCAATTATGTCATGGGTCATACACTATGGCAGGACTTTTTCTGCATTCACATTTCTTCATGCTCTTCTGAAGAAGGTATTAGCGGTATATTACAGATAAAGAATCTGCTCACTTCGCCTGGCCAACAGCACAAAGCCAGTAAGTATATGCCAGAACAGAAACGTAAGCTGAGCTGTATCAGTCTCATAAGAAAATGTGAAGCCACACAGCCTCTTTCAGGATGTTTTCTGACATAAACGTGAAACACAAGTCCTTTCCCAATTACTCACAGGACTTGTATGAAGTTCACGTGAGATCATGTAATGGTACCACGTAAACTGCTAAGACTTCTCTGCCTGCCCTACACTTATTTAAGGACCTCTCCTTAGTTTTTCTATCACGCCCCAAGTTCACCCTGTTTTAGTTCTTCGACTGCACTGCATGTGCCTGTTCCTTTAATCTGTGAGAGTAATGGATCTAAGTGACCGCTGTATTCCAGACACCTAGTGCAATACTTAGCAGATCCTAGGTACCCAACATATTTTAACTAACTAAATTCTGAAAAGAAAGTAATGTCTATTTCTATAGCTTGAATCTCATAATTCTTTGATCCCGTCTAAGCTCAGTAACTATCAATCGTAAGGTTAACAGACCTGTATGTCTATTATATACCCTCAACTCTATAATTTTCTGCAGGAACGTGAGCGATAGACTTTCAGCTAGAAGGGAATTAAGAGTCCATCTGACCCTAACACCATACTTCACAGATCAGCCCAGAACCCTGCACAGCCAGAGAGCAGACAGAATACAGGCAACATCATATCTACAGAGGGTGTAGGCTTTGGACCCACAGAGCAGCACTGGGTTCACATCCTAGCTGTGCTGTTTGCCAGCAGTAAGCGTCAGATCCCTCTGTTGTCCAAATGGGGACATCACCACCTACCCTGCAGGGAGAAGATACAAAGAATGCCCAGCTCGGGTCATTTACACAACAGCCGCTGCTCTGCTGTTTTCATATTGCAACCTCGAGTCACCCCACCCACTGGCACCAGAACCTGGATTAGAAGCCAGGCCACCTGCTCCAAGACAGTGTCTTTGCTCCTACCTGCTCACCTTCCACCTCGATCCTCATATCCTATGAAGTAGCAGAACTAGCTTTAGAAAGAAGTAGTAGATCACCAGGAAGAGTGCTAGACCAACAGGCTGGTAACCCACTTCTCACAGGGGTAGACAGACTGATTGTCTACATCACATCTTGGTAAGGGAACTGGCTCTCCACAGCCTAACACAGATAAGCAAACTCACGCCTCGATCTGGCAATGGCTGGTTATTTAACCACAGTTTACAGTGAGAGAGGGCTGGTTATCTGCTTTTCACAGTGCTACTCAAACTGATTATCTCCATGTTGGTAAAGGGACTGCTCACTCACCTCTTACACTAAAAACAAACTGGTTATCTACTTCTTACAGGCATAAACAGACTGTCCACATTTTAGACGGAAAAGCAGGCTAGTTATATCCACTTGTTATTCATTCCTTACAAGATAACAGACTGGTTACCCAAATCTTATATTGATAAACAGGCTGATTTTCCATTTTGTACATGAAGAAACAGAATGGTTAAATACTTAATGCTAATAAAAGGACTGGTTTTCCACATGCTACACTTAGAAAAGAACTAGTTGTTCACTTCTTACACGGATAAAAGAGCCAGTTTTCCACTCCTACACTGAGCAATGAGCAGTCTACTTTTCACAGCGATAAACAACCTGGTTATCTACATTTTACACTGACAAAGGACTAAATATTGATTTTTTTATAATAATAAGCAGGTTAATTATCCATTCCTTACACTGATTTAAAAAAACTAGTCATTCACGTCTTATACTGATTAATTTAATGATATTTGTATAATTCTATCTCTTATGATAATGTCTATCTTCTACACAGATAAACAGACGTATTATCTACAACTTACACTCATAAACAAACTGGCCGTCTACTTCTCAGACAGACAGATGAACTAGTTACCCCTTCTTAAACAGATTAAGTGGGCTTCCTACACAGTTCTTAGACAGAGGAGCAGACTGGTCATCTATATCCTACTCTCATCAGCAGATTCCCACACCTTACCCTGAGAAATGGACTGGGTTTTACTGATTACCCAGTTCTTATAATTCTCCGTATCTACCAAAACAAATAGCACTGTGTTGAGCATCAAAGAACTATTTCATAAATTTTAAATGAAAAACAAATTCAGTGCCCCTATTTTGAGGTATATTTTGGTGCTTTATGTTTAATTTTGTCTCATAAATTTCAATGTCCTTAACAACAGTCCTCTGTCCCATGTTCTTAAAAGTAAACTGGAGCACAATCAGGGCATAAATGTGAAGTGCTCAGATGCTCAGTGACTGTTCAGACATGTACATACCTATGTGACCTCACCCTGAGCAAGGTAGAGAACACTTCCAAATCCAGGAGTCCCTCTTGAGCCCTTTTCCAGCTAGTACAGACCCACTACACCCCCCAAGAACAATTACTGCCCTGAACTTTTTTTTTTTAATTTTTTTGTAGTCCTCTTAGATACTCCATCTTTTCACATTCTTTTTTTTTTTTTTTAAAAAAGGGGTTTTTGCTATAGGGCACGTGTGCTCACCAGAAAGACAGAGAGAGACAGAGAGATAGAAAGCGAGAAATCACCCCCCAAGGAGGATGGCCATACTGCAATCTCTTCTCCTCCATTCTCCTCTCAGGATCTTGGGCACGCACGTGTATGTGCCCAGCATGAGTTTAAGCCACCGGGTCCGGGACTCAAACCACGGTCGACTACATGGGAGTTCAGCAACATAGCCATTACGCCAACTGCTGGTCCCACTACCCTGAACTTAAGGCCATAGGTTAGCATTTCCTGTTTTTGAATTTTTTAGAGGTAGAATGAAGTAAGCACCATCTTTTAGAAGTTAGAAAAATCATTATCAATATACTCACAAAAAGAGCTCTGGAAAAGCATGTGCCCAAACAATAGACTGGGAGTCTTCGTTCCGTGAGGCAATGTTACCCAAAAACTGCAGGCCACAGCGAAAAGCTGAGAGTACGTAATAATGAAAAAGAAACAGAATTAAACACAGTGAATAAATTACATCATAATAAGAAATATTCCCATGCTGTTAAATAGAAAGTTTCTGTTTGCTTCTTCGAATATAAAGTTCTCTCTCCACGATGAAACTTTGAACATGACATCAATATGCCTGACCAAAAAACAATACACTCTGTACAAAGTCCATTAGCCTATTAAAATGATTACACAAACATATGTGTCTATAATTACACTGGAATATGTATGTTCCAATTAAAAGACAGTTTCACTTAGGCTGGATTTCTTTAAGCTCTGACTATATGCTATTTAAAAGACATATCTAAAACATAAAGTTACAGAAATGTTGAAAGTAAAAGAATGGTAAAAAGATATGCCAGGCAAGCATCAGCCAAAAAAAGGAAATCACGGACCACTTAAAATCACATAATAGGGCCAGAAATGCAACCTGTGGGTTAAGAGAGCCAGATCCCATATGGATGACTGTGGTCCAAATTCCAACCCCAGCAGCTTGAAAAACACACTGGGTGCTTACGTGTGCCTTAAATCCTGATAAGGTGGAGAAATGGAGGAAGGGATTACAGTGCAACTAAGCCCCGCTGGGGGATGATTTCTCATTCTCCCTCTCTCCCTCTCTCCCTCTGGCCAGTACAAGCACCCTCTGACCCACATACACACACACACACACAAAACACAGACATACTAAACCTTAACACAAAAAGTATCATTTGAACATTTTCTTCTAAGTCATTATAGAATAATTTAATTTACCAGAAAGATACAATTTTAAAGTGAAATGCACCTAATAAGATGACTTCGAATATACACACAAGAAAATCTGACAAGAGTATAAGGAGAACAACTCACAATTAAAATACATCTTTCTCAGTCACTTACAAAGCAAGCATTTTAACTATTTGAATAAGAATTAATAACAACCAATTGAAATATTTAATATAAATAAATATTTATTTCACCAAAGAAAGCTGAATTAATATTGACCAAAATCCAGAATACTAACACCACCAACTGCTGGCAAGGTATGGAGCCACAGGAATGCTCATTCACTGCTGGTAGGAATACAAACTGGTACACTTTGCAAAACAATGTGGTAGTTTCTTATAAAAACTAAATAAATTTTACCATATGATTCAGCAAACGTAAACCTGGTATTGACCCAAATGAGTTAAGAACTTGTATCCACACAACAACCTGCACATGTATGTCTACAGCAGCTTTACTCATAATTGCCAGAACTTGGAAGCAATCAGTATGTCCTTCTATAGGTAAATGAATATATCATTTATAGTCTATCCGGATGATGGGATATTATTACAACTCAAAAGAAATGAGATATCATGCCAAGAAAAGAATGAAGGAAACTTACATGTATTATCACTAAATCAAAGAAGCTAATCTGAAAAGGCTATATACTGTACAATTCCAGCTTCAGTGCATGTGTGCCCAAAATTGCAAGAGGAAAATGGAGGAAAAGGGACTGAGGCATGGCCATTCTCCCTGGGTAGGTAATTTCTTGCTTTCTGTTTCTCTGTCACTGACTCTCCAGCAAAGCACATGTGACCTATAGCAAAAATATCTCTTGAAACAAACAAACAAACAAACAAACAGAAAAACAAGATCAGTGGCTGCCAAGAGTTAGGGATGGAGGAGGACAAATAAGGCAAAGCATAAAGGATTTTTAGGGCCATGAAACTATTTTGCACAAATACTACAAAGGTGGCTACATCTGTCCAAACCCACAGAATGTACAACACCCAGAGTAAACCCTATTGTAACCATGGATGACAATGATGTGTCGATGTCAATGCCTCAGTGCTAATGAATGTACCACTCTGGTGGAGGATACTGACAGTAGGATACACTATGTGTGCAGTGGGCAAGGGGCGGGGAGCAATGGGAAGTCTCTGTACCTTTCTCTCAATTTTGTGTGAACCTAAAACTGCTCTAAGAAACAAGATCTGTTGGGGCCAGAAGTGGTTAAGGTTAAGGTGGTTGGATCTCACACAGCCAACTGCACAGTTCGAGTCCCAAACCTGGTGGACTGAAACACGCTATGTATGTATATGTACGCTAAAAACCCCTAAAGGAGAATGAAGAAGGAATTGCAGTATGGCCATCTCTCCTAAGGGGTGATGATTTCTCACTTTCCTTCTCTCTCTCTCTGTCTCTCTCTGGGGTGTGCCTGTGTCCTCTAATAATAAAATAATAATAATAATAATAATAATAATAATGACTCTGAAAAGTTAAGTTTGTTATTTTACTATAAAACGATTTAATGATACCCCGCCAATCCCCTAAAAAGACTTAAGCTGAATTCCCACCTTAGTGTGAACCTGAAAAAGCAATCCAGCCTTTGAGAGATCCAGTTTCCCCATTCATATCATGAGACTGCTGTGTGGGACTATGTGTAGGGCTACTGTGAAGATGAAATGTGTTAAATATGTATTAATAATAATAGCAATTAATAGTAGGGAACACAGTAAGTGCTCATGTACCCTCTTTACCAGCACGCCGTGTGAATTTGACATATGCTAGGTTAAAGTCAGATTTCCAAGTACTGAACAAAAGCAAGTATTTGCTCCTGTGCTCAGAGACGGTAGATTTGTGTGTGTGTGTATGTGTGTGTGTGTATAATTTCACATACCAGAGGGCATGTATAGGTATGCAATTGGATTCGATTATATTAAAAAATCCTACTGTGGGTGTCTGTGTCTTTCTTGCTCTCTCTCTCATGAAATAAACTTTTTAAAAAATACTATTTTTAAAAATCCCATTCATATTACAGGGTGGTTTCCACCTCCAGGTCATACGCTCACTGGCAGTGTGGACAGACAGGAGGGAGGAAGGCAGGGAAGAGGGAGCGAAGGCAGAAGAGGAGGAGGACAGGAAAAGGGAAAGGCCCCAGGAGAAGCAGGAGAACATGGCATCAAGCAGATGCATGAGACACAGGCCTAAGTGACAGCTAACTCAGGGACTCAGGCCGGCAGACAGAAAGCAAACCACAGTCAGGAACCACCTAGCAAGGTCTGGGTCGACCCCGACCACATGCACTTCGAGGCCCTGAAGTCTAAGAGGCGACCCCGCGGCCTCACTGTGCAGCAGGCGTCACACCTAGGCTCTGTGCGTACTCCCTGATGTTGCACAGGGGGACATCGCCCGGCCACATGCTGCTTAGGATGCCTCGTCGCTGGTAACACAATTTACTGTAGGGAGTTAAGTGACACTGAAAAGCAACACAAATGAGACTAAAGGAAACAGCGACCGCACTTAGAACTGGAGGAAGAAAGGGAAGAAGTGAAGGTTATGAGAACCCAGAAGCTCAGGGGGGCTCGCAGACCCAGAACGCAGGTCTGTCTGTGGGAGGAAACAGCCCGCCCCTGCTGATACCTCCAGAGCAGAGGGCAGGGCCTGAGAGAGCTGGACTCAGAACTGAGCAGAGGGCACTGGCTGGCTGCTGCCCAGGCCTGAGTGAACACGAGAGACCTGGAAGTAGGACCAACGGTGCTACCCAAGAGTCAGTGCCATTACTGGGGTGACTCATTACTAAAGAGCATGTCCCCATTTCCATCCTCCTGACTCCCAGTCTCCCCCTGGCACCCCTTCCTGGCTGGCAGAACAGCAAGCATAGGAGGATCGTGTCTGCAGACTGCCCGTCTGACAGAGTGCAGAGGGGGAAGCCTGCGGGTGAAGGAACTCAGCCGGGAAGCCAGAAGCCCCCGCGTCTCCCAGGCCGGCACTAATACGATATGCACTGCTCTGCGTGCTTCATGATTAAGTCGCTATTACCTCCACCCTGCAGAGGGAGAAGTGAAGGCAGAGGTCCAGCAGCCAGTGCAGGCCCAGCCGGAACTCAAGCCAGGCTGTGACTTCCACACCAGAGGTGGCAGCCGCCACAGAAAATTCCCCGAAAGAAGGGACTGCCGTTCGTCAGCTCACCCCTGTATGGAGACCCTAATGACTGCAATTCTTACAATACTTCTGTCCTCTGCAGTAAGCGGACACTGCCATAAACACCACGGCCCGCTCTGCCCTGGTCTCAGGCCGCCACCCATAACTAAAAGGTCCCCGGGCCACCTCCAGTGCAATGACTGGCATCCCTGCCGAGGGGGCCATGCCCACAACCCATAGTTTGCTATTCTTAAAGCGGCTTGCAGGGGCCCACGGCAGTGCCCCCCACGGAAAGCACACAGGTCGAGGGCCTGAGCGAGACGAGAGCAGGAGACTGGAGGAACTGAACTCAGCTGAACTCAGCTGGGAGAAGCCCCAGCAAGGCAAGTCCCACACGTCCCACGGAACACGAACACGTGCAGGTGGTCACTACCTGGCAGATGCCGCTCTACCATAGCAGCGCATCTCCTTCTCTGACCGCCCCCTCAAGAAAGGACTGCTACTGTCCCCACCCAACAGGAAGGGCAGGTCACAAAGCCTATGAGTAGTAGAACAGTACACTTCCTCCAGAATAGGAATCAAGACTAATCAAGGAAGGCAAAAAGCAACTGGAGACTGGGGGTGAATTATAATACCCTGCCTCAATTAGAGAATTCCCACCAGGAAACAACCGGGAGGACATTTTCAAGAGCAAAGTGTTTACTGAGATCCCTTAAACATTCCAGGTTTCTGTCTGCAGATTCAGCCCCAGAGCTCCTGTCCTCTGAGCCTGGAGATTCCTGGAATCTGAGCATTCCCTTCAAACACTGTCACCTAACGGCGGCCAAGCGCACGTCAGACTCTCGTTTCAATACCTCAGAGCCAGAATTGTTGCAAGGATTAAAAAGGCGAAGGTGTGTGAGGTACTCACTTATTCAATTCAAAAAATGATGAACGCTGAAATGTAAAAGGTATGCAAAGAAAATGAGCCAAGAACTGGCTGAGCCAGAATTGAGTGGAGTTACATTATAATCTAAAATTGAAAAGCTGGATACAGGGGGTGGCAGGTGGCATAATGGTTAAAGGTGCTGGATTCCCACAGG